GGCCATCAAAATCGCCCAAGAGTGCCCAAGAGGCCTCCAAGATGGCCCCATGACGGCCAAAGAGACCCCCAAGACGGCCCCAAGAAGGCCCCAAGACGGCCCAAGAGGCCCCCAAGACGCCCAAGATAGCCTCCAAGACGCCCAAGATGGCCTCCAAGATGCCTCCAAGACGCCCAAGATGGCCTCCAAGACGGCCAAGATGGCCCCAAGATGCACCCGAGACGGCCCAAGCTGGCCTCAAGATGGCCTAAGACGGCCCTATACGCCCGCAAGAGGCCTCCAAGACGGCCCAAGAGCCCTCCAAGACGTCCTCCAGGAAAGCCCGAAAGGGCCAAATCATTGAGTTGCCTTAGGTGTTTCAAGGATTGTTGCTTTTGCTCCTTTTCAGCTCTCCGACGGCTCAAAAAGGCCCAAGCGGCCCCCAACATCGATCCAAGAGCGCCCAAGAGGCCTCCAAGATGGCCCCATGACAGCCCGAGAGGCCCCCAAGACGGGCCCAAGAAGGCCCCAAGACGGCCCAAGAGACCCTCAAGACGCCCAAGATGGCCTCCAAGACGGCCAAGATGGCCTCCAAGATGGCCTCCAAAACGGCCAAGAAGGCCTCCAAGACAGCGAAGATGGCCCCAAGATTCACCCAAGACGGCCCCAGATGGCCTGAAGATGGCCTAAGACTGCCCAAAAGGCCCGCCAGAGGCCTCCAAGACGGCCCCAAGAAGGCCCCAAGACGGCCCAAGAGGCCCTCAAGACACCCAAGATGGCCTCCAAGACGGCCAAGATGGCCTCCAAGATGGCCTCCAAAACGGCCAAGAAGGCCTCCAAGACAGCGAAGATGGCCCCAAGATTCACCCAAGACGGCCCCAGATGGCCTGAAGATGGCCTAAGACTGCCCAAAAGGCCCGCCAGAGGCCTCCAAGACGGCCCAAGACTCCTCCAAGACGTCCTCCAGGAGGCCCGAAAGCTCAGAAACCCCCTAGTCCGATAGATCGCCCGACTCGGTGTTCCCCGAAGGCTTTTCTAAACCCACTCGGGGAACGCGTGGCCCGATAGCTTGGCCAAGCTGAAACCCAACTTTCGGCCACGCAGGCGCTTCCAAAAAGGCAGGAGGCAGCGGTGATTCGCCGTAGGCGTCTTCGATCCGCCGCCCACTGTTGGCATGCCACAGGGGCGCCCGGCGTGCTGGACCCTTTCGGTTTTGGTGTTGGTTCTTTTTCCAAAAGAACTCTCCCGACCCAGCCCGCGGGCCACCCAGAAGGACCCGGAAGGACCCGGAAGACCTGGTTGCCAAGGTTCTTCCTGCTCGAGACGGCTCCAAGATGGCCCAAGCTGGCCTCCAAGATGCCTCCAAGATGGCCAAGATGGCCTCCAAGACGGCCTAAGAGGGTCCAAGATACTTCCAGATCCGCACAAGAAGCCTCCAAGACGGCCAAAGACTGCCCAAGAGGTGCCCAAGAGGCCTCTGGAGGCCTCCGAGAGGTCCTCCAACAGGGCCCGAAGAGGCTTAAATCATTGATTTTCATGTGGTTTTTGAAGGATTTTAATATTTGACCTTTTTCGGCCTTCCGACGGCCCAAGACGGCCCGAGAGGCCCCCAAGATCGCCCCCAGAGCGCCCAAGAGGCGTCCAAGACGGTCTCAGGACTGCCCAAGAGACCCCCAAGACGGCCCCAAGAGGGCCCAAAGACGGCCCAAGAGGCTTCTAAGACGCTCCAGGAAGCCTCAAAGACGGCCCTGGAGCACCCCAAGAGGGCTCCAAGGCGGCCCAGAAAGGCCCTCAAAACGGCTTCCGATAGTTTCAGACGGGCCAGGAACCCACAAAGACGGCCGAAGTTGGCTCGAAGCTGGCCCAAAACGGCCCATGAGGCCTCCAAGAAGGCCTCCAGGAAGGCCCAAAGAGGCCAAGATCATTGATTTGCCTTAGGTTTTGGAAGGATTCGGTCATTTGCTTCTTCTCGGCCTACCGAACACCCGAAACAGCCCAAGAGTCCCCAAAGATCGCCCCAAGATCGCCCAAGAGGCCTCCAGGATGACCCCAGAACGACCCAAGAGGCTCCCAAGACGGCCCCAAGAGGGCCCAAAGACAGCCGCAAGAGGGCCCAAAGACGGCCCAAGACCAAGAGGCCTCTTACACGCCCAAGAAAGCCTCCAAGGCGGCCCTGGAGCATTCCAAGAGGGCCCCGAGTCGGCCCAGAGGCCACCAAAATGGCTTCCGACAGTGTCAGACGGGCCAGGAGCCCACAAAGACGGCCGAAGTTGGCTCGAAGCTGGCCCAAGACGGCCCAAGAGGCCTACAAAAGGGCCTCCAGGAAGGCCCGAAGAGGCCAAGATCATTGATTGTCCTTAGGCTTTGGAAAGATTGGGTATTTGCTTCTTCTCGGCCTACCGACAGCCCGAGACGACCCACGAGCCCCCAAAGATCGCCCCAAGATCGCCCAAGAGGCCTCCAGGATGGTCCTTGTCCCAGAACGGCCCAAGAGACCCCCGAGACGGCCCCCAGCCCCAAGACGGCCCAAGAGGCCTCTTACACGCCCAAGAATGCCCCAAGTCGGCCCAGAGAGACCCCCAAGACGGCTTCCGACGGCGTCAGACGGGCCAGGAGCCCACCAAGACAGCCAAAGAGGCCCCCGAGAAGCCACAAAGGCCCCCAAGAGGCCCAAGGAGGCACCAAATATGCATACAAGAGGCTCCCAGGAAGCTCCCAGGAGGCCCCAAAAGTGTCCCCATGGGCTCCCAAGATGCCCCCTCCTCCTCCTCATCATCCTCCTCCTCATCCACCACCACCGCCTCATCCTCCACCTTCTCCTGATATTCCCCGCCATCCTCCCCCAAGTGTTCCCCGAAGGGTTTCCACAACGGCTGGGGGAACACATGGTCCGATAGCTTGGCCAAGCTCTGGCCACAACGCTCGGCCACATGGGCGATTCTAGAGGGCAGGGGGCGGCGGTGATTCGCCGCAGGCGTCTTCGATCCCCCGCCCCCTGTGGCTTGCCACAGGGGTGCGCGGCGTGCCAGACTTGAGATAATTCTTGGTCCTTTAAAACAATTCTCAAGGGCAGTCGGCCTGACGCGCTGGCCACTCGGAAGAATCGTTCTCCACTGGCCTCGCCACCCAGTAAGGACCCATAAACTTCCCAGGTCGCCGGTCTCCCCGCTTCCACGCGGCGAGGATGGCTGAAGATGGCCTCCAAGATGCCTTCACGACGGCCAAGATGGCCCCAAGAGAGCCCACAATATCCCACGATGGCCGCCTGATGTCTACAAGACGACACAAGAAAGATGCACTCAAGATGGCCCAAGATGGTCCCAAGGTAGCCCAAGACGGCCCGAGAGGCCCACAAGAGGGCCCCGAGAGAACCTCCAGGAAAGCCCGAAGGGATCTCTCCTCCTCTTCCTTTTCCTCCCCCACGTGTTCCCCGAAGCGTTTCCACAACGGCTGGGGGAACACATGATCCGATAGCTTGGCCAAGCTCTGGCCAGAACGTTCGACCATATATAGCGTTTCCAAATGGCATGGGGCGGCGGTGGTTCGCCGCAGGCGCCTTCGATCTGCCACCACCTGTGACTTGCCACATGGGTGCACCGAATGCCAACTGTTCTGTCGCTTGGGTTCTTCAAAAAACTGTCCGTGGGGTCCAGCCCGATCCTGCTGACCACAAGGAAAGCCTGGAAAAGTTAGTGCCCCATCAGCTTTCCCACGCAAGACGGCCCCAAGGTGGCCTCCAAGGCCTCCAAGATGGACCAGATGGCCCCACGAGAGCCCAGATGGTCGCAAGGTGTCTGCAAGACGGCCTAAGATGCACCCAAGGGCCGAAGATTCCCTCCAGACGGCCCAAGAGGCCCCAAGACGCCCCAAGGGGGCTCCAAGAGGACCTCCAGAAGGCCAAAATAATTGATGCCCCTTATGTTTTCAATGAGTTTAGCGTTCTTGCCTTTTTCGAGCTTCCGACGCTCGACCCTGTAGGCTCCTAAGATCGCCCCAAGACGGCCCCATAGACCTCCAACACGGCCCCCAAAAACCGCCCCCGAAGGCCAAGAGGCTCCTGAAGAAGACCCCAAACGCCCCCAAGAGGCCCCCCAAAGGCCCCAGGAGGCCCCAAGAAAGCCGAAGAGAACCCTCTGAGGCCCTTCAGAGGCCCCCAAAAGGCTCCCAGGAAGCCCACAGGAGGCCCCAAGAGACATCCGTTGTTCCCCCTCCTCCTCCTCCTCCTCCTCCTCCTCTTCCTCCTCGTCCTCCTCCTCCTCCTTCCGCCTCCTCCTTCTTCCTCATGATCCTACATCGCCTCTTCCTTTCTCTTCCTCTCCCAAGTGTTCCCCCCAAGGGACTTCACAACGGCGGGGGGAACAGATAGTCCAATAGCTTCGCCAGGTTTTGGCTCACCGTGTGCCCACATCGACGCGGTGATTCGCCGTAGTCGTCTTCGTCGAATGTTCTGCGGTGCCTTTACGTACGTGATGTTTTTAAGTGGTCTCTCTTTCGTTGTGTATCTACGGGGCGTATGAGTATAGTGTCTCTCGCTGTGGTTCCTCTACGCGGTGTCCCCGTGCAGTGTGTTCATGTGGACTCTGTGGTGTTTCAACACATTGTGGTCTCTGTGGCGCGTCAGCAGTGTCGTTCTATTTGCTACTTCAACGCTGTGTCACCATGTGTGGCGTATCCTAGTTACGCGTTGGTTAGATGGCGTGTATACGTATGTACATAGATACACGTCTATGCGAGGTGTGTTTGTCTGGTGTCCCCACGGTACCTTTTTATGTGATGTATCGCTGAAGTGCGCATGTGTGGTCTTTGCAGTCTCGATGTGGTGTGTCTGCATGTGTTTACGTGGTGCGTTTGCGTGGTAATGTACGTGGTGTTTGACGCTGTAGTTACGTACTTTTCGCAGTGTGCGTTGCGGAAGACTTGTGCGTGCTTGCGCGGTGCTGCATCTCATCGCATCTCACCCTTAAGCGAGATCGAAATCACGGTAAGGAGAAGTCGATATCCACTTCGGATTCGCCCTCCACCTGCAGTGTTGACGCCGACATGCAGTGCGATTCGGTCGACAACTGCGCAAGGATGAGCCGCCACTGCCGGAAGTGCTCCCGCCCGGACGCCTCCACAGCCCGGAGGAGCAGCCAGAAGTGCTCGGCCGTGCAGGTCCTGGACGCGTTGACCTTGCTGAGCAGGTCGGCCAAGGACTCGACGGAGGTATCCTTCGACGCCCTGGCAGTGGCGCTTCCGTTCACCACGCGCTTCCTGACAGGCACCTTCCGTGCCGGACGCTCGTCGCCAAGCAGCTCCTGCAGGGGCGCCATCGCCCCAATGCCCACCTCGCACCGGTTCCTGAGCAGCTCCATGTGGGGCCTGGAGTGGTCGATCGTGACCATCAGCATCTTGACCCACGTGTGCCCAAACGTGGGAAATCCGCCGACCCCTTGTTCCAGCCTTTGAGATGCCCTCCCCCCATATACCCCCTCCGGGGCCCCAAAGTGCCGTTTTGGCCACCCCCCCAGGTGAACGCGTCATGGGGGAGCACGGGGCCCCCCTAAGGCCAAGAGGGCCCCAAGAGGCTCCCAAGACGGTCCAAAAAGGTCCTCAGTCGCCGAAAAATCGCTCCAAGACGCCCAAAATGGCCTCCGGACAAACCAAGATGCATGCAAGACGCCACAAAAAGACTCCAAGAGGCCCTCCAAGGCACCCGAAAAGCAAGAATGGCCTCATTCCCTCGAGGACACGCATGTTTGGAACAGACTCGCCTCTTGAGTTTTTAACAACGTGCAAGACGGCCCACAAAGTCCCCAAGAAAGCTCCGAGACAGCCCACAGGGGCCACAAGACGGCCCCCCGAAAAACAGCTTAGCCCAAGAGGTCCCAAAGCCGACGCCAAGAAGGCGCCCAGAAGGGGAACCCGAATGGAAATTTCCAGCTCTCGGCCCAAGGACGCCCCCACGTTGCACGTTGCACGCTGCCCCCAAGAAGCCCCCAGAAGGCTTCAAGAAGCCCCCAGGGAGCCCGAAGAGACCCCCCAAAAACATCCCCACGAGCCTCCCAAGAGAAGTTCCCACAGAGGCCCAAGATCTGCCTCGAGACGCGCCCGCAAGACCTGACGAGACCCCATCGACCATCCGAGTAGCCGCAGGCCCATAAGCCAGGCACGGCGGCGGGATGGACCGAAGATCATTCGACATTCATGTGCGCACGGCGAGCAATGCGAATGTCCACCGCGGAAAATACCATGATCCCAAAAAAGCATCGTTCCGGACTCGGACCCTGCCCCCCCTTCGTCCCCTGAGAGCGCTCCGAAGAGACCCCACCAAGCCTTCCTGAGGCTCTGGCCCAAAACCAGAGGGGTCCGCACAGGGTCTCCGGATTCACGGTGCAAATATGCGTTTCGGGGGTGCGGGAATCGTACAAAAAAACGGCCCGCGGAAGCCCGAGCTAGCGCCCCAAGACAAGATCCTGACTATTCCTCCTCCTCCTCCTCCTCCTCCTCCTCCTCCTCCTCCTCCTCCTCCTCCTCCTCCTCCTCCTCCTCCTCCTCCTCCTCATCATCATCCAACTCCTCCTCTTCCTGTTTTTCCTCCTCCTCCTCCTCTTCCTCCTCCTCTTCCTCCTCCTCGTCCTCCTCCTCAGCCTCACCCCCCTTCCTCCATCGCCCCCTCCTGTCCCTCCTGTCCCTCCTGTTTTCCTCCCGCTCTCCTCCTCCTCCTCCTCCTCCTCCTCCTCCTCCTCCTCCTCCTGTTCCTCCTCCTCCTCTTCCTCCTCCTCCTCCTCCTCCTCCTCCTCCTCCTCCTCCTCCTCCTCCTTCTATTCCTCCTCCTCATCCTCCTTCAGCAACTCCTCCTTCCCAGCCGTATCCTCCTCATCGGGTTCGCTTTCCCTCTCGCTCTCTCCCCTTCTGGTTCCAGTTCGACGGACCACGGCACGGGCGCCCGAATGGGCATCATTTGCACGCGCTGCACCTCAAGGTGCTATTCTCTTCGTCGCGCGCGGCACTGTCAGGCCTCACGGAGAATGCCGACTCCGGTAGTTTTCTCTTGCCCGCGCCGCTGCACTGATACGCCTGCCAAGTGCGAGCCGTGAAAAGAAGGCCCCTGCAATCTGCCTCACTACGTTCACCCCCCTCGTCAGGTGTTCCGTCTGCTGCGCGCCACTGATCCGGCCCTACCGCGGGAATTTCAAGCTGCACGCCGCGCGCGTCAACTCTTGCTATGGCCTTTTTGTCGCATTGGCCACTCCCTTCGCGGTCATGCCGCGGTTGCTACAGACCTCGTACTTCACCCTGGTTCCTTTCCTCTTCCGATGATATTCCATGCGTTCCTTCTTCAAATGGTTCGCGTCCGAGAAAGACTCCCCCAAGCGCCGCGCAAGTCAGCGGTTCGGATTACGTCCCTGCCGTCCCATTGCGATTCGCCATCGCGAAATTCGCTTCCCAGACCGCCTTGCCCTTCTCCTTCGCGCATGTCCGACGCAACCTGTCCACGCCCCTTGTCTTTTCTTCTTCTTCACCCGACACTTCCGCCCCATCTTCGAACAGCGCCAAGCACGTCGCATTCCAGCACCGCGCGCGGATCACGCTTCCTGTCCAGTTCACAGCGCCAGCGCGCGGCTCCCGCTGCGCTTTCCTGCCAGCGCATGCCCCACAATTTTTCGGCGAGGCGCACACGCGCGCGCCCGCGTCGCCGAGACCCTCGACGCCCCCGCGCCCGCCGCCCAACGACGCCCCTGCACCTTCCCTCGCGCTCGCCGCACACGGCGCGCCGCCTCTCGCGGGCGCTCTTCATCTCCGCCGTGCAGTCCTTGCCGAAGGCCGGCCCCTCTTTTCTCTGGAACTCGTCTTTCGCGAACGCCTTCTCTAACCGCCTCCTCCTGCACCGCCCGCGCTCGCCTCGCGGCGCCAGCTTCGCTCGCGATTTCCCGCGGCCCGCATCTTCCTCGGAGAGCCTCCAACAGCTTGTTCGCGCCATCCATCTCGCCTTCATTGTAAGCCTTCCTACCAAAAGGCCAGAAGATTTATCGGTTTCATCGCCGTCGCACCCGCGCAAATGCAACACAATGCAAGGTTCGACCTACGCCGCGCACTCTATCAAGATCTGATATGACTGCGCCCATCGCTGCCCCTGGCGCGGCGCGCCCCGCGGCTGCCAGCGACGACGTGATCGCGACTGCGGGCGCTCCGCGCCCAACCCTTAATGCTCCCGACGCTCATTCAAGAACCACCGGCGCCCCTTCGATGGGAAGAGTGGACACGGCCCCGACATTCAGCATGCCAGGTGCCATTCCTTCGCATGGAAGTGCAGAACAATCACTTTGGCCGAACGCAACAAGACCATCCGCTTCATCTCCCAGGACCTCGCCCTCGTGCAACGCCCATCCACGAGCCGTTGCTGCGCGCCCCCGCAGGGGCTGCTTCTTCGACCCATCCAAATGATCTCTCAGCGTCACGGGCACGCCCGCTGCCAGCGGGGGCCACCCCGACGCTCGCGCACACATGCTCGCGCACCCCAACCACCGCATTTCGTCCTCCACCGTGCACGGTCGCCTCTGTTCCCCCCCATTGCAGGGGCGACCTCTCGCTGCGACCCATCGCAGCTGCTCTCCCCGCCCTTTCGCCCACAGCGCTGCCCCCTGCTTCCCGACGCGGCACCGCATGCCCCGATTGACATAAATCACAACGGCTTCTACGAACCTCTCCCCGCAATCGCGCGCCATCGGGCGACGTCGCAACGAGTTCCCCCTTCTCTTGCTCAGCTCTGCCACCCCGCACTCGCATCTCCTCGACAACGTGCCCGCGCGCAGCGCTGCGCCGCTCGCCCTACCCCGGCACGCCCGCTGGCCCCCCAAGCAAGAAATTGCGCGCGCGCTCGGCCAGCGCCCCTCGCCAAAACCAATCTTGCACCCCAAGAAACGAATCGTTTTGGTCCTCCGCGCGCTTGCACTTCGCCCCAAACTCCCCAGAGAATGCGCCGCCCGCGGCCCGGCGCGGCACTGGGCGCACACCTCCTTACATTCGTCAAGTACGACGCGCGGGTCGAATGGATTGCCGCCCCCGACGGCGGCCCCAACTGATGGAAACCTCAGCGCAACGACGAGTTCACACCCCCCAGCGGCGCCCGCGCCGCCCACTCCTACTTTCGCGTCGTCCGCTGCCGACCGACCGCAGATGCGAATCGAGCACTGCAGAGAAGCTCGCGCCCACCATACTCACCTCGTCGACAGCCAGTCGTTTCCATAATGCCATCCGCTGCGCGGCCATGTCCTCTATCGCCCCCCATCTCCGCCCCCGCGCTTCCATCGCCCCCGGCGCTCTACCCCTTCGTCTTGTTCACGCCAATGCCAAACGCACTGCGGATCGCATTCACGTCGAGGGCTGCCGCGCTTGTGGCCTGCAAAACTGCAACCTGGGAGTCCACGCCGCACGCCCACCTCATTTCCTTCTCAACCAGTTCCTTCCGGGTCTTGTCTACGACGTTGCTCTTCCAAGTCCACGGGCCGCGGCGCAGCGCCCACCGGAGGGGCCGCATGTCGGCGCGTCTCTTGCCAGACTTCCCCCCTCTCGCAGGAGCCGAAGCCTTCTGCGCCAGGACCCGATCAACCACCACCTGCACGACGCTGCGCTGCCCGGCTTTCAGACCGCCCCCCGCATGCCCAGTCTTCCACTTACGCGCGCTGGGTGCCGCTACCCTCTTTCCCACCACTCCCTCTGGGGCGCCCCCCGCTTCCCCCGCGCCGACCCCCGCCCGGGCTCTCGACGCCGCGGCCGCCGTCCGCGCCCAGCGCACTGCCGCGTCGCCCCACTTCAACGCCCCGCCCCCGCGCGCGCTTCCTTCGCTTCGCACTCCCCCGACTCACGCCCTCACCCCGCGCGGCGCCGCCCCTTGCCATCGCCCCCCGGCTTCTCTCTTTGTCACCCTCCACGACTGCGTTCATTCGTCTGTCCTCGATCTCCACGCACGCCCCCCCGACGCGCGCCCTCCGCCCGGCGGCCGCGCCTGCCCACTCTTGGGCCCAACTCTTCGTCACCGCGCGATTCGCCCTCGAGCTCGGCGAGGTCTCCGTCGGCGACTGGTCGCAGATCCACGAAGCCCGTGAAATTATGGACGTGCCTCTTCGCCCCCTCGCACGGCACGCCCTTGCCCCGCATTTCCACTGACGCTTCCGCCCGCGACCCAAGCGCGCCGAGAAACCTCCGCAGGCGCGGCGCTCCACAATCGACATCGCCACGCGGCGCGAACGCCCAAAAATACACCATCAGCAGGGGCCCGTTCCCATCCCCCCCCCCCGACCCGCGCTTCGGCTGCGGCGCCCCACGGGAACTCGGGGCCCTCGGGCGCTCGCCCCGCGCGAGCACCCACGCGCGCCTTAGGGGCCCCATCCCGGGAACATCCAGGCATTGAGCCCACGACAAAATCTCACCTTCCTTCTCAACCACGTAAACCGCTCTCGCTTTCAA